TAATTTTTTGGCTTTTTTGTATCTCAACTGGAAATTCTAGTCCTAGCAGCAGAGAAATATATATTCATGTCTTTACATATACCATACCATAAGGATTGAACTTCACTAAATGAACAAAGTGCTCAATCAAGATATCTTGGAGAATCATTCAAGGGTAAAGCAAGTTCACTTTCACAGTAAATACACTAGCTTCACCACTACATGAACTCAAAAGGCATTATATCAGCAAATAAATACCTTCATATATGTATCTACGTCGGGATCTGGAACAATTTTCGCTTCTTTCTCCCTTCTTGTAAGCTCAAGCAAAATTTCTTAAGGAAAACAACATAAAATCATATCCATTATCGTTATGCAAATAGTTTGAGTGTCATTAAGTATTTATATATTGCGTGACACACCTGTTCTGCTTCCAATACCCTGACAGCGTGAAGAGAAATCAAGAGTTTCCCTGACAGTCATTTCAGGGATATGTAGATCATATTGACTTATATAAGCTGAAGTTTTCTGTGCCACAAACTCTTCCAATTTATAACCATTGTATGAAATCTCACCAGTAACCTGTGGAAGGAAAGACAGACACCCTTCTTTTGTTATAATAGCAATTCCAGATGAAGTATACATTTAATTGAGACTGTTAACAACTCTCACTAATGTGTCCTTCATTGGATTAGGTATTAAACAAACAAAAGTTATAGTAATTGTGGTTAATTATAGATACTCTGATTATGGAACTTTCAACATAATATCATAACAATGAGGAAAGGACGAATGGATTACTTCATGATGTAACAGAAAACTGGTTGCTTCTAGTATATAAGAATAACAAAGCCACAAGATAACTATATTAAACTTCTCTGATCCAAATCAGGATAGCTTTTCAATCATTTTTTTTTGTATTGTCTATTATGCATATTTTCTAAGGAAAACTATTTTAAACACGTCTTAATTATTTGATTTAGCCCCTGTTTGGTGGCTTTTAAACTTAAAAAACTATGTTTTGAGTAGTATTTTTTAAAGAATGTGTGGTTAAAAAGTAGAGAAAGTTTCGAGTTTACGTGTAGAATTGTTGATTGCGTGAATTTGTGGTTAAAAATGAGCTTGAGAAATAAATTAAATTAAATTAAAGTAAAGGCCACAAACAGGGGCTTGTCCATTAACACAGAGAGAGAGAGAGACAGAGAGAGAGAGAGAGACCTTTAGTGATTTGTTCAAATTTCCAGAGAGGGCTTTCAATAATGTGGTCTTTCCACACCCAGGAGGACCAAGTAGCAGAGTCATTCTGCAACAAAAACTCTCTTCAATCCAGTATTTGAAAGTCTAATTCAACAAGCTAAATTTGATTAAACGATCGGCACCAATAGAACGCCATTTTCTGTTTCCAAACCTGACGTTTAAGTAGAGAACTACTAAAAGGAAAATGCACAATGGTGTGCAAAGAGACTGTAATGAAAAATATAGTAGCACGACATAGCTGTCAGTTGTATGTATACATGCACGTGTAGAAAGTATATCTGTTTGTCAATCAAACCGTCCAAGGATATTTTTACTTTATCAAACTTCTAGGCTATGAAAAGAAAGCTACTCTTATCAATATATTTTCAAGTCAAGTTCCAAATTAATCCACATAGAAACTAGAAACATTCTATCTTGTGATAAAAAGCAAATTAACTGAAGATATATGAGAAAACAGAAAAGATAGATGGAGATATGAGGAAACCATTACAGACAGCTAGAGAAAAATAACAAAAAATGCAGTGCTGTATAGAACGTAAATTGCGAACTCAAAGTAGTCGAAGCAACTCTGTCCGTACTAATATATGTTAATTGAAAGCTTAAGCACTATACCTTCCTGGCTTAATGATACCACTGACATCATTTACGATGCTGATCTTCGCGTCTTGTTGTGTTGGTAAACCTGGAAGCCTGGCAAGGTCCTGTTAAATGAAATGGAGGTTTGATTCAGTGCACGCAAAAATAACTAGGAGGATGTTTCAAATCTGTGCCCAAATGATTCTTTTTTCATCTCATACAACGAGAGAAATAAGATGAGTATCAAGTATCAAATGTCTTTCCATCTATATTTTCTGGAAGATGAGTAATTACTTACCTGAAAAACAGTATTCCACAAACACAAAAATGTAATACTTGTTGACAAAGGGATATTCAAATGAATTTCCATACAGATATACAAATCGAGTCACATAAATACATGTAGATCTGAGGAGTAAATAACAGTCTTAATATTCATGCAGTTCAGATTAGCTTGATCAGGCCAAAGTGAATATAAGATAGATTTATCCAAGGTCATCAAACAGCAATTGAAACCACATTAGCACATCGCAAGTACTTGCCAAGGACAAATTTGATTGCCAGTACCTTTGGTTGTTCGGACCATAATTAACTCGTTCCTATTTAAATCCTCGATGCATAATTAAAAGGAAGGTTTTTGAACATAAAGCAAGGGATATATATATAGAACAAATGGTTGATTAACTAAAGATACTTCTAATAAAATGCAAAAATACAAATACATACCGAGAGTATGCTTTTAAGAGAATTCCAAAGAGTTGGGAGGGGCTTCCCATAAACAACCTCACACTCTGCTTCTATGGACAAATTGGTGTATCTGACTTCAAATGAAGACAATTTTACTCCAGCTCTGCAAAAATCAAATCGTAACGCCAATCCAATGAGATTAGGAAACGTGCAGCAGTAACATATACTATATAGTATTCACAACAAAATAAAACACCTAAAGAATTTAAAAATTCCAGGACGAAAGTCATTTTAGCAGTTTATGGTGGTTCATGTACAAATAAGAATGGTGTTAACCTGTCTATTCTCTTTCTGATTTTCTGCAGCAGGCGAAGGTTGTCATGTTCAATGTGTTTAATGAGCTTCTCAATGAACATGTGCCTTTCCGGAGCATCAAGCTTAGTAACATCAACCACTCTTCTTCCTTTACTATCAGCTTCATTTCCATCATTTTCATCAAACAAAGATGTTCTTAACCGTTCAAATGTTGGCAGTCTATCGATAGCAGACCATTGTAAGACAGATTCATTGTCAGGATCAACATTGTCTCCAAAACTTGTTGCTGAATTGCTATGAAAACTTGCAGTGTGATGCCGAAATGATGATCTTAAGCTTCTTCCTATCTCTGATAGCTCTATTCTGAATGATTCTATTTCATCTGCACCAACTAACTGAGCCATGATGGTATGGACTACATATTTCAGCTTCAGATCTGCATATATATATATATACACATACACACAGAGAAGCATTGAATTTAGAGAACTTCTAGTCATGCAGATTTTCTTTCACGTTTGCTGGGTCTTCAGACTACGAAACTTGATGAGGTAAGGCAATACATCATTCTTATCCCAAAAAATTTAAAATTTAAAATTTTGATTGGTGAACTGATGGTATAGAGCATCTATGGGTGCCGATAATAAGCGGGATTGAGATTTAAAAAAATGCGAGATATGCTAATAATCTAATATAAAGAGGCATTGGTATGACTAAATACGAAGTTTTGTTACAAAATATAGTCCAGAATGACAAGAGATACTTCCTAGGGAAGTAGCCCACGGGGAGGGGGGACGCATCGAGATTGAGATTAATAGTGAAGATTTTCCGAACATACAAGTTACATTTGCGGAGTTAGTTGACTTTCCTGTTAAATAAATGCATATTTAACATCATTGAAATTCTAGCAAAACTGTAAATTTCATAGCTTAAACAAGAAGCCTTTTCCATGGTAGAAGCATATGATATTGGAATATATAATACTATAACTGTTTGACTATTGATGGCTAGCTCAGCCACATTTCTTTATGCTTCAGCCTGAAGTAATAACTTAAGAGGCACAATATGATGACACTGGATATGAACCATTTTTTATTACAGAATCCAGCAGAATATGGTCACGAGCATCATACAACTTGGGGAGTCGATATCTAAAATTAAGTGTATAGAATAAAGATATCGAAGTATTACTATTACTACCTTTTATTACCATCAGTTTATGCAGGAGTTAAAATATCATGTGAAATCCCTCGATACGGCGAAGAATATCCTGCATTAGAAGGTAGTTAAATACAGAACAAATCCCACCTTTGGTTCCATTTAAAAGTTCAGTAAATAGAGTTTCATAATTATAAAATCAAATTTCTACACGGACCCAAATCCCATGGAGTTTGAATCTAGATTCTAGCATTTAAGAGAGGAGGGAGGATACGCAAAGGAAGTTGACTAAAAATTAAAATAAGTTTTCCGTCTGCAATGACACAAAATGATGAGGTAAGCTATTGCATCATTGATATTGATTCTAACTACTACTCTCTTGCCATAAACAAATTTTTTTTTTTTACACCAAAATATATATTAATTCAATAACTTCAGCCAAAACTACGTTCCGCTACTGCATTGCAATTCATGCATTCATTGAGGTAGGCCGTTGCTTTGGCCAGCAAAAATATCTAGCTGCCCAGACCTGTTGGAGAAAACCCAGTTCCTCCGTTTAACATAATTATATTCTGCTGCGTGTTGTATCCCTTTCTCGTTAGTTCTATCAAATAATGTTAATAAAAAGATCGAAATGGTACACGTCGGAGAAGGAATGGTATCACGCCGCAGCAGCGCGGACTTGTCCATCCACCAGCCACGGCAGCAGACAGATCGGACTAACGTTCAAGCCATGATATGTAAAAACCTGAACGAATTTACCGAACTTTTTGGCCATTTAACCCAAAAGGAAAGACTCCCCCAAAAGAAATTAGGGCATTGTGGTGATTAAAATTAGATTTTCAGTGGACTGTGATAGAAGGTTTTGAAATGTGTGATTAAAAAATTGTGGTACCCACAAAAGATGTGTTTAATATTGATTGTTTCACTTTTACTTGGATTAAAATCAGATTTTAACTCGATCCAAACATACCCATAAATTAATATTTTGAAAATATTCAAATTTAGAGATAATTGTCCTTTCTTACACCATGTCGGCTAGACATGATCGCCCCCACCAATTTTTCCGTTAAAATTAATTGTTGACTTTAACTTGAATTAGAATTAATCACTACCAAATAGGGGTTAAATTGAGGAGATTGTAATTTTGTATTGTTGAATAACATGTTAAAACACCTCGGTTGTTTCAAAAATATTTAAATACCTATCATGTTTCAACTATAGCAAATTTTCTTAAAACTACCTAAAAATCCATTACAAAAAGGTGACAAGAAAATATTACAACATAGAAAACCAAATATGTGATATTTAATTTTATCTCTTATATGTAGTTATTACAGAAAATGGCAGTCGAACAACGAACATATTGGTACAAGTCAATAAGTACAAATGAGTACAATGTTTCACCTCTTCTGAAAGTTCAACTTCCCAATACAATATGCAAATAGAGAAGCAAAAAGAATGGGGTACAAAATCGAAACAACAGCCACAACTGGTAACTCATTATGGTGAAATCCATAATAATCTCTCAAAAATGCTGATACTGTTTTGGATTCTCCAAACACCATAATTTCCTCTTCTCTGTCTCCATATTGAGAAGTAAGCATACCATTTAATGTCCAACTAGTAGGAATCAAATAATAAAACCAGATCCACCATTTAGGAATTTGCTGCGGGCGAAGAAAGATAATGATTTATTAGTACCCTTTCACAATCATGCATTTGTATATAACAACTTTGGTCAAGGAGAAGTCACAAAGCATACAAGAATCCAGTTCAAGGAAAGAAATGCTTACAGGGCGAGGAATCAAGAAACCAGAGAACAGGTTGAACATTGTGTAAAATGTTGACTGTAGAATGGCAGCTATTGGAAAGCTTGGTGTCATCGAAATTAAAAGCATTCCGAGATAAGTGAAGTACAGTAGCGAACAGAACATAGAGTAGAAATACCAGAAGACCTTGTATGCTGACCAGTAATATCCAATCATTGGATATGTGATGACTGTGAATGCAAGTGCTTGGGCTAAGAGATATGGAATCTCGATTATGACCTACAAAATCAAGAAAGCTAATGAATAATTCTTTAGATTGATGAAACTACAACACTAATAATCATTTCACATTGTTTTTATAATACTTGAAACTGAGGAACAATTAAAACTTAGCTAGTCAATACTAGTCATTTCCCGGTGACAAGTCTTGAAAATGAAATAGATTTTTCTCTCCTTTCTTCTCAATCATTTTTATAATGGAAAGAACGAAAATTCTCCTCATTCATATATTGCTCAATTAACGATACAGGTCGGTTTGAGGTTTCAAAGATGAGGTCACCGAAATACAGGCAGGCTCGCCAAAATTGTCTACAATTTCATAGTTTTGCAAATGAAAGATGCAAATCTTCCTAAATTACAGATCAATATTAGGGTGAAACTTTATTTGTTGAATGTAATCAAGTATACAAGTAACTTAATATATCCGGAGTAATTATACCTGCGCAGCTGGATAAACCCATGAAGCATACATTCCAGCAAAGCTTTCTCTGTAGAAAACAGTTCGCTCTGTGCTAACATACGACAACACCGAAGAGGAATTATTTATGCCACAAAAGAGTGTGGCACTGAACATTGAACCAAGCACGGTGAATAGACTCTGTTGAGTATGTCTATAAAAACAGATAAAAGCAATGAATCAACATTAGACTACAAGAATTTGTGGATGACAAAACTTAAACGAAATTCAGAACGCCAGAATTTAGACAAACGGTTTAGAGCATGGTGCGATTCTCCTACAAGAGAACTGTAGAGTCACACTCAGTGAAAAAATCCGATCTCCAGGAAATCAATTATCAAGAGATTTTTTCTATCCTTACTGGGTATAATTTAAAAATAAAAGAACCTCATGTGTGCAGGAACTTTAGTATCCTTATTAACATATTAGCCACTTTAGCATTCTGAGAAAGCAACTGTTCTACATACTTTTGAGTTCACATGCATCATCTGAAACCAAAAACGTTGAACAGCATTTCCTATTTTTCTCAATAAAGCAGATGGAAGATCTAGATCCACTTTGACAGCTCCTCCCCTCTTAAAAAGTGAAAGATGGAACAGAACGAAATAAAAAAATGTCCTTTAATTTTGGCAGAAGTTGACTAATCATGATACCGAGTTTTGCGCTATATGATTTACTTACATTTTCTTCCCCTGATCCCAAAATAAGATTCCAAAAAGCAAAGATGAGAACAGCATATAAATTGAGCGCATCAAGTTGTATGAAGGACTTCTCCAGTAAGACCAGTGCTGCTTCCAGAGGCAGGATTTGAACTGTCGCCAACCATTTTGTGAATAGCGGGTGCGGAAATGCAAATCTTGTGAACCAGGAGGCGGGGTGCTCATCTTTCTTATGAGCTGTTTATTATACCTAGGAGAAATATAACAGAAGAATAATTTGTGCTCAACATACGTATAACACACCAAAAAGTTGATACCAAATACTATGAGTAAATTGATACATGATGCTTCACAGTATCTTAATAACCACTGGATAAACAGAACTATAAATCATTTAAGAGAAACGGAAAATTGAAAAATGTACTATCTAATGATCTGAAACTGAAGTCCTCAATTAAATATGATGGACCTCCTGCTTACCAACGTGGGGAACCCCTTAATAGGGCGGTGAAAGACTTATTTCAAGAACCTCCCGCCTTCGACCCACTCGAATTTTAAAGTAAGGGGAGGGTAATTGAATAATTTCAATTACTGCGAAACATCAATGTATGTTATCAACTGTTAGGGCACGAGATGTTACATTGTCTTGGGAAAACCATATTAAATATGCTGTATATATTTGGCAGGTATGCTGTAGACTACTCCTCGGAAACTAATTTCCTTCATATTTTACTTGAGGATTTATATAGTAACAGAGTAAAATCAAGTTCCTCTGAATAAGGCACAGACAGTGTCTTGCCAAAATTCAGGGTCAACAACAACAATGAAGGAGACAATCTTTCATAATTTTACACAGAGAATGAAAAGTATGTATCAAAAGTCTTCGCCAAAGAAAATTTTATAATTTGAATTTCTCAAGAAACACAAGAAATTGCTTCTTCTCATGAATCTCTTGCCGATATCATTTTGTAATTACGATAATAATCCAATTTTTCCTAGTGAGAGGCATTTTCTTGAATAATTAGGATATGCAAATTAGTAACCAACAGTTTTTTGCATTCTCCATCCTTTATACAGCCTAAGCAATGTACCAACTATGAAATAGCGGTTCCTGAGAATATCAAACATGAGAACGATCCTAAAAACTTGGG